CATGCTTGCAGTGGTAGATATGAGCTTCAAGAGACAAACACTTGAAGCTCAGACCAACAACATATATCAATGTCATCATGAGTTCGTGCTAACACGTTTGACACAGCAGGTAGGGTAATTATTATGATGTTGGGACAGTAATTCGTGTGTGATCAGTTTACCTTACTTTTGTTTTCATTAGCCGAAAAGACTACACAGAAAGGCATTCGGCTAGTTCTTCTATTTCGTTAAGCCTTGTTGTATTATTTTTATATCAAATTCATATCGAAGGTATGGGCGTAATTTATATACAGTGAATGCTTTGGGAACTTCAACAGTTTGTAAGGGTGGTGCAGAAAGACAATCTCCGGGTAAATCATAAATATGACGTAAAGCTTCTTTATGCAGAAGCTAAACATTTTCTAAATTTGTGAGCCTAGTAGTGCTTCATACAAGCTGTCAATAATTAACATGTGACATAGCTAGCGGTTTGAAAAGTAACAGTTTCACTTTGGTATTATAAGAACAGAGACCTGAGCTATACACTGCAAGTATTCATTCTAAAAAGATCTGCACGGCGTGAAAATACGGTGTTTTTTATTTGACTTTTGTAGGAAGGACATGATTGTTGGGGTATCAAAGACCAATAAAGCATCAATCTTAAAGCATACAAGATTAACGTGGACATTTCACGGCAATTTTTCATTAAACCAAACACCAGAGGTTTTCAAAACTACCACATTTTTCATGTTTTCGGGGCCATAGCTTAATGATAGAAAGCACGGTACAAATTTATCTTCGGTACAATATCACCACTTTTGTTTTATTCGCATTAATTTGCAAACTATTTAAGTTGGAAACAACTCTCGAGAATACCGAGCATTTTCTTAGTGTTTCTCAGCAATTCGTTTGCATCTTTACCACTAAAAAAACACATGTGTCATCGCTGTATATAAAAAATACCTAGGAGAAAGTATGGACATTATCATTAATATATATATTGAAGAATCATGTCCTTAGGAGACTTACTATATATTACACTTCATATCACACAGTCATGTTTCTACGTATTTCCGCCACGGATATGACGTTGAAAAGTATTTATTGACAGATTGCAAAGAAAAAGCGAGAAGGAAAATTTCGTAGCATGGTGTCGAACCTTCGACCTCGCGCACCTCAAGGCACGACGCTATCCACAAACTACAGAATGACCCATCTGCAACACGTTAACGCCGAGCCATTTATATACACAGTGTACCGCTGGCGGTCTTCAGAGCTCGGAAACTTCAGTGCATTTTAGTAATCAGTAGCGAGCTGGCACGACGGCCACGCGTTGGGCGCGTGCGCTCTAAAGGACTGACCACACGCACCCGTTGCAGCGCATCAGCGCGTAGAATTTCGACACGGAGCCTAACCCCTCTCCTATAGAGAGAGTGGGCGCGCAGCTTCGCATAGCGCGAAACTTATGCAGCATTTTTGCATGCGTTTTGCCGGCAACGTTCCCCTCGGGGTCATTGTGTCAACTTCGCCAGAGAGGGTGGCAAACCATATGAGGAGCGTCAAAGCCAGCGTCAACTAAGCGTCGGCTGCAGAGTGTAATGAAGAGAATGAACGCGAGACCTCGCAGAGCAGTGTGCAGTGTCCGTCAATGCAGCAACAAGAAATATTTCTGAAGACAGGTTTCATGTCTTTTTTTTTTTTTGTTCTGGGGTTAGAAAAACAAATCACAGTACCACCGAAAAGTTTTTTTTTTTACTTCTAGCGCCAGCTGTTGAGATTAGAAAGAACCAGAAAATCGCAATTTACGGTCTCTGAGTTTGGAAGTGGTTCATCTTTGAGGTCACGTATTCAGCCAATACACTCAGGCCTGCTAACCCTACCGAGGGACTTGAGTATGGCTCCCGAAAACGGTTCAAATAAATCCCGAGCGCTTCCTGTCGAAGCTTCCTGAGCAAAAGGCTAAGTCAAATATAAGCATAAGATCAGAACTTTGTAGTCACATGGAGCACGGCGATTACTTAATAGATCAGAGGTGGGCGGCAGCCATTTTGACAGCCGCAATGATGCTGTTACGTAGCGGAAGTCGCTGTCAGCCGTGCGCTGATTGCTTCTCCCTTCGTCGACTCTCTTCCGGCGTAGGTGTCGACGCTGCAGATATCTGAATTGTCAAGAAGTGGACACTTCGGCCACCGTCTCCGGCAGCCTCGACGCTGAATGACGCCTGCGCACAAAACACCATGAAAACGCTGGCAAAACGCTGCCTATGTTTCGGCTTAGAGGTCGTCGTGCCGCGCCACCCAGTGCGTCGCAGATGTTCTCTAGAGTGGTGGCTCACTCTCGCGCGCTTCTATCTCGGGATTCAGGTGCTTTGTATCTCTTGTGCTTCCACCGCGAGTTCGCTTTGAAGTTACAGTAGGTAAAGTTAGCACAAATGAAAATTCACTTGCTGCCGCGGCCGCGTTTTAAATGCAGTGCACTGCTCAGAGGATCAACATGCGCAATAGGGTTGTAAACGTTGCGTGGAGTGCCGCCTTGAGGAATAGAGGCGAGGGGGGCTCCGTGCCTTGGGCAGTGAATACGTACTTTGACCGTGCGTGGTACCCGCAGTCGCACACATGTATCTTTCGAGAACAACAGACGGCTCGATTACCTTTTAAAGCGTTGCACTGTAATCGCAACGGTGACGTTGAAGCCACACACAGTACAAAAGGCACTTTGCTCGTCGCAGCGGCCACGCACGTTTCCTAAAGCAGTGAGCTTTGCACTTGGTATAACTAGAGTCCTTGAAGCAATGAAGCACTCTGGTATATAACAATATTATCTGTTGCTATCTTATTCACTGCCATCATGGACGTCGGCAGGATTTTGTTTTGGAGGTTGCAACTCAAATTGTATCTCTCTATGGGAGGGCGAGCGTGCTGGTGTTAATATAGTAGGGGCACGGTTGGCGGGGGCAAGTGCTCGTCATGCTTGAGGGGGGCAAGTGCACCTTTCGCCTATGACAGTGCCCATTTTCTTCTGTCTTTCTCGTCCTTTCTTCCTTTCCTTTCACGTTATTTCTATTCTTTCTTCCACGCATCCTCTTTCTCGCTTATTCTTTCTATTCGGCTATCTGTTTTATATCTTTTTTTCTCCTTTGTATTTCTGCCTCTCTTTTTCCTTTTTTCTTTCTCCCAAGTTCACCGCAGTGTTGTAGGTGTTAATGTTATGCCCCAAAACAATCATCTCCTAATTCAAGTCGTCAAACAGCACTAATTACAGTTGATAAATAAATAACACCAATTTTGACCAGTAAACTTGGTGATGGTTCTATTCACATTGAACATGGCACTGTGCATTACACGGAACAGATAATTTTTATTTTCTTATATTCAATAAGATTCCAGTCCAGCGTCTGTTCTCAGACAGTTTTCATCAAACATCCAGTTTCTTTCTTTCAGCGCCCGTGGTCTCGTTATCAAAGACCCCAAGTCATTTTCGTCGAGTCTCTGTTATCAAATCTTCACGTTTCCTTCCGGAATTTAACTCCCCAAACCCAATGCTCGGTGCCAGTTGACTCAATTTTCGATGATATTTTTCCAAAAAATGCCAAGTTACTTCCAAAGCATGTTCTGGAGGGCCTCCTTCAAGACCATCTGAGTCATTTTCCTAAATACGTAGTAATTTCGACGGACGCAACGCAAAATCTTCATAAGGCTTGAGTAGCTATTTTTTCTCATCAGCTTAATTGGTCTTTTGCGCTCCGATTGCCTGACTTCACACCAATTTATCTCGCAGAATTCCTGGCTATTACATTGGCTCTTCGAAAACCTAATTATCAGCAATCAAAAGCTATTATTATTTCGGATGCTTTGTCTGTATGTACACATCTAACGTCCGCAAAGAAGTCTCCTCTCCTCAGGATATTTTGGTCTCTCGTACCGCATAGCCTATCAGAAGTTCAGTTTATTTGGGTCCCCGGGCATGCTGGAATTGAACTAAATGAAATTGCTGATTCGCTCGCTTCGGCATCTTTAAATTTATCGGTGGTGCTAGTAGCTCCACAGTTTCCTTTTATTACTGCCGAACGATTCAAACGCCTGTTAATGTTAAAAATGAACGAAACGTCGTTTCTACAATCTGAAGAATTTCGGCACTTGCAATTCACATGGAACACCGCAAAATGCCTTTCCCGTCAATGTGAGCTGACCCTCACAAGCTTTCGCTGTGGAGTTCCTCTGTTAAATTTTTATCTCAACAAATCAGGATTTTCATTAACTAACCTATGTGTAGTTTGCAATGAACCGGAAACAATAGATCACTTTCTTCTCACATGCCGCCGCTTCGCCTCACTGCGCCGAATAATTCTTGAAAGACCGATTGGTATGCTCGGATTGCCAGTCAATACATCCACCCTATTATCGTTTGGAGCCAGTCAGTTGGGTGTGGGCCACAGTACTATTCTGTCAGCGCTACATAAATTCATTCAGGCAACCGGAAGGATACGCTGCTAGTGGTACTGCCAGATATATCCAATTCTTTCTTCCCCTTCCTCATTCTTGTTAATTTGTTTTATATATTATGGTTTATCATATTATTCTGCAACTTTTTACGTTTTTTCAAAGGAACATTATTATTGTTACTATCTAATTTCTCTCTATTTTTTTAGCAAGCGTAGTAAAAATGATCTATCAAGAGGTACAGTGTGGCCAATCCCCAATGTGGGTATGAGCCAAAATCTCCTAGGAGACAAGACAAGACAAGACAAGCGTCTTTTTCGGTGGTAGTAGGCACGTACTATAAAAATTTCCCCGAAAAGAGAAGGAGGAAATACATGCACGCGGTGCACGAGGACCGAACGTGGCCTGAATCAGTCGCAGGGGCTCAGACCAGCTGGCTGCACGCTCCGCGCTCTCGCCGCTGTTCCACCTAAGCTGTCGTCTCCTGGGGCCCGCTTGCCGGCTAGCTCCAAGGCCGAGGAGCACGGCGGGCTCTTCGCGATCGACGACTGAGGCGAGAACGATTCCCGGAGCGACGACGCCATGGCGAAGAAACAGGCGGAGGACAACCACGCTCCGCCAAAGACCGGGCGAGGGAAGCGTCAGGCCACCCCTGACGAGCATGTAGCTGGTCCTTCCATCGAGGCTCCAGCTACAAAGCGTCCACGGGGCCGACCACCAAAGGCCTCGTCGGAGGGGCCGATCGCACCGATGCCCATTGTGCCCACACCGGCTCGGAAGTTGCGCAGGGCCGCGGATGTGACGCAGCCCGAGGGAGAAAACCCTTCTGCAAGTAAGGACATGGCAACCAACGCCCCAAGAGTTACCCGTACGAAGCGCCCTCGAAGCTTCTCTCCGAGCAGCACGAACGACACGGCAAGCGAGGCGCCAGAGCGTCACCGATCCAAGAAGGTGACCCGCGGCCGGTCGAAGTATTCATCCCGCAGTCGACATAGCGGACGTGATCGTAAAGCCCGAAGCCGTAGAAGCTCTTCTGCATCGTCGAAAGCGAGCCAACCAAGGAAGAGGCGCACGAGAAGGCACCGCCATGTCCCGTCCATTAGATCTACTTCGACCATGAGTCTGCGCTCGAAGCGCCGCAAGAAGCGACTCAACGCCCATAGTCACTCGTCCTCGAGGCACGGAGGGCGGCACGGGAAGTCACGGAAGGCCCCGAGCAGCCGGTCGTCGTCTGCGCGCGGGAGGCGCACTAGGACTGGCAAGAGATCCAAGGATCTGAAGAAAAAGTAGGTGAAGCCATTAGGACTCAGCAAGCAGAGCCAGGCTACAGCAACAATTGGCATTTCCCTTCTACGAAAAAGTGGTGAGGCTTCAAGTCCCTCTTCTGCTAGGCACCATAGGATGCAATAAAATTAAATTCGTTGCCCCTGTGTTGCTCAATCATTGTCTGAAGTGTGCGTAAACAGTTGCAGATGCAGAGGGTGGGGTGGGGGGGGGGGCAGGTTGAGTGATCGCCCTCCCGTACTCAAAGCCCATGTGACCCCCCCCCCCCCCCCAATTCATTTTCATTGCCTGTCGCGTGCCTCCTTGTCAGGTTTCATGACGATGGTGCCTCGGCTACAACGGCCAAAATTGTAGTGCATGGTAGCGCACTGGTTACAGCCTTTGCTTCCAATGCTGAAAGTACGGAGTTCAATTCACAGTTCCGCCAAAGACCCACTGTTTTTAAATGCGAAGTATTTTGTGTACTGCAGCCGCCTTTAACTTGTGTACTTGCTTATCTATCTCTCTAGTTGCTTCTTATGGGTGCTCTTGTCCTCACTTCCTTAACTTGGGGTAAACAAGAAACGCCAGGCTTGCGCGGAAGGCGCAGCGCAATTGCACAGCCACAGCGAAAGCTAGAAGAGCAGCCTTTCAAAGCCTTTTCGAAACCCTCATTGGGTAACTGCTGCAAGTACATTTGCTTGATGCCCACTGCGGAATTAGTAATAAAGATTTAAGGGTAGTAAGCAGGCATACGCTATATGCTATTTCTCATCATTATTCTGAGAAACATTGTATCCGCTAAACCATTGCGGGGAATTTTGTGCCAATTTTTCATGCAGTGGTTGACGACGATAAGGAATGATGCCTGAACTGGGTATGTGTCACAGTTACTGAATAAAAACTAGTTTTTGTAATTGGTTGGAGCATTGCACGACCCACTCGTTACGCTATTCGCATTGTGGAACGACTGCTGGTTCTTTCGCCCTTTTAAGACACTTTATCAGTCGTATTAACGCGAATGCTTTCCCGACATCAAGCCTGCCCAACGAAATTTAGAAGTGTGGCAGCTTGGGCTCGTTGGTGTGCCATGACGATAGTTATAGCGCGAGAACAGAACAACGACAAAAAGACAACAAGGACACGAAGGACACGAACGCTAACTTCCAACTGAGTTTATTGCACAGAGCACGAAAACATTTGGAGGCAGTAAACTATGTGACAACACCATGTGGCACAATTTAGCGCTCGTGTCCATGGTGTCCTTCTTGTCTTTTTGTCGTCGTTCTGTTCTCGCGCTATAAGTATCGCCATGCGTAAGGCAAGTTTGCCAAGATGACCCGAGCACTGGCGTAGCTCAGTGGTATAATACTGGGCTGGCACCCAGCAGACCCGAGTTGGAGCCCCGCTGTGTCATTAAGCTAAGTTTTTAGCTAATTTCGCGTCATCTGGTTACGGGCACCGGTACCAACAGCGGTAGCGGACAAATACGTTGCTGCGCCAGACCCTAGTTGTTGTATTATAACAGCTTTCGCTCTAAAAGTAATATGGGAGGTTAACATGGTTTGTCGAATATTATTTGCTGGTCATGACACGAATAATGTCCTAACCTCGTTCGTTGGGTACGTCGTCACACCCTTTCTGCTGTCTCACGTGGGGAACCAACCCGTATACCATGGGCTAGCACGTCACAGGGTATTGACAGTTTACATGAAATCGGGCAAGAACTGATAGTGGTAATTTTAAAATGAGAATGTTAAGAAACAATTCGCCTAATTCCATGTAGCTTGGAAATCAGTGTTACCCGAAGCATGCGGATGGGAGGCGATTATGTTGTAATTTATTTATTATGCGAAGCGTTACAAAGTGGCGCTAAAAATATGTGTAAATACATGCACAGACACAAGGTAAAGACCAACCAGAGCTTTTTGACAATGTAAGGATAATAGTGTTTTTATCTTTTTGAGACACTCTTGTGATGCGCCCAATAGCTGGAATGCTCGACAAATTTGAAAATAATAATTATTTGCCGAGAAAAACGAAATACCGAACCATAACCCGACCGAGTGCGCTTCTACGTGTTACTTAATCATTTGCCCGAAACTGACTGATTTCACATGATGCCCGCCAGATGGCACTACGTGTCCACACCTTCCGCTGTGATTGGTTAAAAGGCTTACGCTGTTATGGTGAATATATGGACATTCGTGTGTGGCTCACAATGCAGCACCGGTTGCCAACTATGGCACGCCCGCCAACACAAAAGAGGAAATATCACAGTCAACCAAGGAAGCACCGGCCAAACCCACACAAACCATAGCACACAAGAAGATGCGGCAATGACACATCAGTACCGTCATTTCTGCCAGGCAGAACTCGAAGTCTCACGCACAATTTTGTTAATAAATTTGGCAAGCGAGGTAAGTGTTTTGAGACAAGCTATAAACTTCATTTGAAAAGAATCTTCGAAACTCTAAAGCTTGCAATTTGGCATCAATGGCAGAAACGTGCAAATGAACGTACCCAGTGAATTTCATTGAGATTCATTGAGCTCAAAAAATCATTCGAGTTGGCCTTTAAACAGTTGCATATGCTTTATATAACCAATTTACAGTTGCGTAAGGATGCCAACAGCAACATCGATATTAGCAATACCAGAAGCAGTAAGCTGATATGAAGCGCTGGTGTTGGAGAGGATGTTAGTTCGGGACACTGCTACACGAATTAACTTAAGCGGATTGTGCTTAACCACAATTGAGGTGAACCCCACATGACGGCTGTACCATAGGAGTACGTATGTAATATTTATAAGTTTGGATAGCCTTCACGGCAACCACAATTGACGTTTCGCGAACATTATTGCGTCTGTTTGAGAAGTAGTTCCGAGGCCTGGCGGGGTTCTGCGATAGAATACTGTGCCAGCAGGAATCAAAACCCACCCTTGTACATGGCAATAAAGCATGGGCCAGCAAAACTTGTGGAGCTCACTCAGATTCACTCATGTATATATTTTGCCCTTAGGGCTCACACGGACTCAGAGTCAGCCAAGGTTTCCTGAGCCTGTCTCACAGAAACTCACACTCATGAAAATGTTGAACCAGATGATTCATCCGTACTCAAACTGACCAAAACATTGCCCCCCCCCCCTTGGCTCACTCAGAGTCATGACTCGATCTGGGTCTCAATGAGTTCAAGTGAGTTGGCTCGTGAGTGCAAACGTTAGCCGGGAATCGGCTTTCTCGATTCTGGTGGGAATGCTCTTTAAAAGAATACTAAACACAACTATTAGGTTGACGTTTATTGTTAAAATAGTGGTCCAGAAACCTCGTAGTACTACTTTTCTGCCAAGGAATTGCTTGGCAAAAAAGTAAAACGTGATTTTCAAATAAAATCACGTTTTAGCAGTCCGCATAGGGTTAGTGCACTTCAAATTACCCGCCTTTAACAGAACATCTCGCGTGACGGTTGCAGTGCACAACGTCGCCCGGATTTATCGTGCGGCCGCCGTGTGAGTGATTTTAATGAAAAGAAGAGAAAAATGAGCCCCATAACTGTCTCTCAGGGGGAGGACGCCTCAACAAAAGCTCACAATGGGGTGGGGATAAAGGTTGGATTAAAAGGATAGGAGTAAATGATAAACAAATAGAGAGAACAAGACGAGAGCGAGGCGCAGCGACAGCGAACGACTGAAAACGACGTAAGTTAAGAGGAGGGAGATGGGAAAGATGGACATGGTCCCAGGAATCCGAGGACGGGGCACCAATCGGCGAGAGCTCTTGTCGGCGTCAGGAGATGGCGTAGGGCGAGCCTAGTCGGCCAGAGCTGCGCTGTCGTCGGAGATCGCGGGGGCACAACCGGTGGGTACGAAATCGAGAGCGCGACATTGTAGCAGCAGCACGAAAGCAGCGGGAGCCACAGCGTCAACAGCAGTCTTTGAAGAATTTCCTATCATTGGCTCTGACATGGCAGACGTGTTTGGTTCAACTTGCCCCCCTTGATGACACGACCTGTCCAGTTTAACTAGGCGAAAATTGAACTCTTCAACCACACGCGTCATTCCGCATAGCAACGTTCAGTGGTTCTTTTTTTTCTATGAATCAAACACAAACGAACAAGCAGTATTTTATTACGTCTCTTGATGCACAGAAGGTTCTCTATTTAGTGTATGCAGTTGATTCGATTTCCAGTGAACAATTGTAGGCTGTAACCCTGATATAATCGCCATCATTACGCGAATATTCTACGGCAGCGCATGTGTTCTCGTGCGTTTACCTTAATTTCTCGGTAAGTAAGGCACAGCTGTTGATCATATTGTCATAATAGACGTCATACATTAAGCTATCAATCTCACGTAAATTGTTGTTTGATTTTCTTGTTTCTTCAACACCGATATTTTACGCAGTTGCTGCCTTTCTTCGCGCCTTTTGAGGTAGCCCCCCTGCGGTGTTCTAGTGGCTGAGGTACTCGGCTGCTGACCCGCAGGTCACGGGATCAAATCCCGGCTGCGGCGGCTGCATCTTCGATGGAGGCGAAAATGCTGTAGGCCCGTGTGCTCAGATTTGGATGCATGTTAAAGAACCCCCGGTCATTGAAATTTTCGAAGCACTCCCCTACGGCGTCTTTCATAATAATATGGTGGTTTTGGGATGGTTAACCCCACATATTATTCAATCAACGTTTTGAGATAATACCTCTAAATACGAGTTTTTACTGCTCGCAAACCAGGAAAGTCACTTCTCTTGAAATATATGACAACATTAGATATATTTGTGAAGAACTTCCCTGGAAAGTTGGCTTAGTGAGGTCACGGCACTCCTCTACGTAATACACGTATCTGATTCATAAATACTGAAATGGATGCAGAAACAACACTGCTTTGGAATACGTATCAGTAGACGTTAGTATAAACGTTAATCTATGTAAGGCTGAAAGTAATGCTGAACATGAGCAGATAGCATCATCATCATCATCATCATAATCGGCATCATCATGATCCTTACTACGTCCACTGCAGGACGTTTCCATGT